CCCTATATTTCTTCCTTGAAAGGAAAAACAAACAACACAGTTGCTTGAGGGATTACTAGAGCTCACTCTCATTCTTGATACACTTAAATTACCTTTAAGTAATCTTAATCCCTTCCTCATAGTTTTTTAAACAAAGTTGAGTGCTATTTTATAAAAGGTCATTTGGCCAAACTGATTTTCCACAATATCTGTCTCATAAGCCCACATATACATTCACCTCTAAGCTTGAAAGAAATTTAATACCTTAACACAGATAGAGCAGGAATGAGTGACATGAGTGCAAAATCGTTATCTCACAGTAGAAGGCAAGTGGATTCCATGCAAAAAGTCTCCCATTTAGTCATTAATAAGCACTGTGTCACCTCCAATAAAATTATTTGACATTTCTGTTTTAATAATCTCTCTCCACAGGTCTTAAAAATTTCCTGCTTTATTAGCTCAGTACATTAAAAGACACTCTTCAGTAAAACTACATAGTAATAAATGCACAAGTATTCTTAAAGTGATTTATCATCACAAAACTAGGAAAGAAAGCAGACATTTCCACCAATAAGAGTAATTTTGGAAAGCTTAATGAAAACCCCCAATATGGTAACCAAATGTATATTACATTGGTGAAATGTAGCAACACATCTCTGCATACAACTACCTACCATTTAATGTTCATTTATCATTTCAACTGAAAGCCTTCTAGTCCTAGGACTATAATTTGGTTCACTATATGAAATTTGAATATTATGTTATTAGGAAAATTTAAATAGAGAGGGAAAACTGGCATTTGTTCTTATTTAAAAAGAAGGTATATTCATGGTTAGATGCTAGTTTCTCCAATACACAGATTTTATTCTAAATTCCATTAGGTTCACAAAGGAACTGGTCATTATAGTCATTAATTTGTCAATATGTTCATATTTTTGTGCAATACCCTTTCTACACACTGGCTAGACTTTCTATTATGATAATTTTATTTGATAATATAAAATATCATGTCATTTCAAACTGATAGAAACATTTTTAAAATTTCAAACTATTATAAAATTTTTTAATAAATCCATTTTTCTAAAATCAAATATAAATGTTAACCCGATAATCAAGATTAAAATAATGTAAATGCAAAAAGTTTGATTTTCTAAAATTCCATCCAAAAGAAAAATGATATGAAGGGAATAAAGTATATAATCTGCCAGTTCTAAGTTTTAAGTTTCAAAAATGAACAAAGTGGTGCTAGTGTTGTGGTACAGCAGTATCTTCAGCATCCCTTATCACAGTGTGTGTTTGAATACTAGGTTGAGTACTGGCTACTCCCTTTCTGATCCAATTCTCTGTCTTGGAAGGCAGTCAAATGCTTGAGGGGTCAAACAAAGTTCCTGGCTTCTGACTCTTGGCTTCAGAATGGCCCATCCCCAGACATTACGATCATCTGGGGAGTGAACCAGTAGATGGAAGATCTCTTTCTCTGTGTGTCTCTTCCTCTCTATCACTCAGCCTTTAAAATAAACAAGTCTTTAAAATAAATAAATAAATAAATAAATAGACAAAAACTACATAATCAAACATCTGCTTAAACAATGAAGAGGAGGAGACAACACTTAAGTCCTACTGCCCCTGAGTTTGTCCAGCTTAGTGTAAAAACAGAGGATGGCCTACAAAGCTGGGATTCAGCACACGGGTCTATCTATCATTCCCAAATCTGAACTGCTAGGAACAAGTATTTCACAGTTTGTCACTATTGCTAACTGAATTATTTTTACCTTGCATAGTTTTTTTTTCTGTAATAGAGATTATAACCAGATAAATTAACATGATAAAATGTAGAAATGTCAAAATGATGCCAATTAGTATAATGGTAGAAGGTTTTTCTAAGATTTGAAAAATAATTTATAAATTGGGTTTTTAAGATCTGACTCTCTTTTAAGTGAAGGCCGAAATCATTCAATTTATTTTTTGGGAGACTTAAAATCAGCTTATCAATGAAAAAAAAGTAATTTTTTTCAAGCTTTCTAAGATTTCTAGTATCTCATCTTTACCAGAAATCTTATTTAGTGGCAGCCAATTTGCAAATATCAAATTTAAGACTACAGATTCAGTAAAACAAGAAGAAAGAAATGAAACTTCATTTCCAAGTATTTATGTTGGAAACACTGAACAGACCAATTAGAAAAGACTGACACTGAGGGCTCCATTTTGCCATCACTCATGTTTTACATGAACAAATTTTTACATTACTTTAATCAAGAAGTAGACATCATGAATCATTGAAAGTATGCAAATTCATTATACTTTCTTTGTGAAAGTTTGACATCTTGGCTCCTGTCACATAGTTTCAAACTAAGTATGTATTTCACTAAAAGAATATGAACAAAGAAACTAGAGAATAATAGCTTTTTAAGTTTATGTTTTCATAAAACAAAACAGCTATATAAACTAGCAATATCAGACAGCTAGAGCCAATTTTAACATCTCTGGATCTTCAAGTTTTCTTCAAAATATTAGGGATTATCTTTATTGTGTCATAAAAAATAGTCCAAACTTATTATAACCGACTCTAACAACTAAAACACAAACAAAAGCACTTTAAATAGCAATATCCAATTAATTTTTAATAAAGATAAAAAATATTTCTATTGCCTATATAGATAATCCAATAAAGATTCATCAGTAAACCCAGTCATTCTGTCGTGGACCTATGAATAATAATAAGCTAAATAAGAAACAAAAAGATATTATTCAGTTTTATATTCTTCTTATATTAGAAATCAATTTCAATTTTTAAACCAATTTCACATAATTTTTCAAAAAATATTGATTTTTCTAATTCTTTAAAGATTCGTTTATTTATTTGAAAGGCAGAGTGACAGGGAGGGGTATCTTCCATCAGCTGATTCACTCCTTAAAACTACAACAGCTAGATCCAAGCTAGGCCAAAGCCAGGAGCCAGAAACTACATCCTGGTCTCCCACATGGGTGGCAGGAGCCCAAGTACTTGAACCATCTTCCACTGCCTTCCCAGACACATTAGCTGAATGGGAAGCAGAGCAGCCAAAACTAGAACTGGTACTCCAATATGGTTGCCAGCCTCCTAAGTAGTGGATTAACCCGCTGTAATATAACACTAGCCCCCAATTGTTCACTTCTTGAACATAGCACTTTCTTGTTCTTAAAGCTTTATATTAAATAGCAATTATGGTTCAGAAAATAGTTTGAGTGAAGCCTAAGGGTCTACATATTGTGGGCTTGGTCCCAAAAGTCTTCTATTAATAATTAATAGGGGCCACTGCTGTAGCGCAGTAGGTTAATCCTCTGCCTGTGGCGTTGGCACCCCATATGGGACCCGGTTCTAGTCCTGGCTGCTCCACTTCCTGTTGAGCTCTCTGCTGTGGCCTGGGAAAGCAGTGGGAGATGGTCCAAGTGCTTGGGCCCCTGCACCCATGAGGGAAATCTGGAGCAAGCACCTGGCTCCTGGCTCCTGGCTCCTGGCTTCAGATCAGCCCAGTTCTGACCATTGCGGCCATTTGGGGAGTGAACCAGCAGATGGAAGATCTTTCTCTTTGTCTCTCCCTCTCAGCATCTGTAACTCCACCTCTCAGATAAATAAATAAAATATTTTTAAAAAATAGTTAGTGGACTAATATCCATGGTTAATGGATTAAGATGAAGGACCAGATCTAATTATAACATCTAGGAGGCTTTGCCCTTAGAAGGTAGTTTCTGGCTGGCGCCGCGGCTCAATAGGCTAATCCTCCGCCTTGAGGCGCCGGCACACTGGGTTCTAGTCCTGGTCGGGGCGCCAGATTCTGTCCCGGTTGCCCCTCTTCCAGGCCAGCTCTCTACTGTGGCCAGGGAGTGCAGTGGAGGATAGCCCAAGTCTTTGGGCCCTGCACCCACATGGGAGACCAGGAGAAGCACCTGGTTCCTGGCTTCGGATCAGCATGGTGCGCCAGCTGCAGCACGCTGGCCACAGCGGCCATTGGAGGGTGAACCAACGGCAAAGGAAGACCTTTTTCTCTGTCTCTCTCTCTCTCACTGTCCACTCTGCCTGTCAAAAAAAAAAAAAAAAAAGAAAAGAAAAGAAAAAAAAAAAAAGAAGGTAGTTTATGGGAGAAGGTTGGCAATATAAGCCAAATTTGGCCTACCTCACTCTGTGCTTCCAAGCACACCATGTTATGCTCCCTCTACAATGCTCCACATCCACAACCTTCATAAGTTACCAGACTAATAGGCCCTCCTGATCTTGGACTGTGAACCTCCAAAACTATAAGCCAAAATAAACCTCTTTAACTCCCAAGTGGCTTCTCTCAGGTATTTCAGTTAAAGTAATAAAGAGCTGACTTATACAACAGGTTTATAAGAAAAGCTAAATAAATAAAGTAGTAAAGATTTATTCAAATTACTACTTCCTCCTTTTGATGATGGTGAAGAGAATGGGAGAGAAATCAATGTTTAAGAAAACTCTGACAGAAGTCAGTTTACAGAAAATAATTTTCATCTCTATCACTGCAATTACATTGTACTAGGGCAGTCATGTAAATGTTTATTATGAAAAAATTTGCACATATTTCAAAATGTTTTGCACCAGAATAATGTTACATTTTAATTCCATTTTCTATGAAGTTTTTGAAGTACTTTGACATTTTGTATTCAAATATTTGTATCTTTCCACACATTCGATGAAAAGAGACAATGATGATGATCTAATATTTTTTATTACAATGTGCCAGGGTCCTTTGCTCAATGCATACAATAAGTCTTCACCATAAATAACAGTAATTCTATTTTACAAATGGCAAAGGGGAGGAGGAAAGGTACAAAGAGATTAAGCAATTTATTCAAAACCACATAGTCAGTGACAAGTGACAAAGCAGAGATTCAAACTCAGACGGTATGGTGCCTTACCTGATTTCTGAGTAAAGGGTACACAGTATCTGGCACAATACCTGACACTCATCGATACTAAACAGAAATTCAACTATGATTGTACCATTTAGCTCTGCTTTACTTACTCTGTGATAACTCTGGATTTCCTTTCAGATTCATCATCTTTGGAATTGAAGGGCCATACACATCCACATCTAACAAACCAATGGCCTTTGACTGTAAAAAAAAAAAAAAAAAAAAAAACAAACAGAATTTACCGTAAGATTATTCTCTTTATCAAAGAAAAAGAACACAACAACAACTCTGACTACAGAAATTTGCAAACTAATCCAAAATCACAACCTAAACTTTTTTTTTTTATTTGGCAGGTAGAGTTATAGACAGTGTGAGAGAGAGAGAGAGAGAGACAGACAGACAGACAGACAGAGAAAAAAGGTCTTCCTTCCGTTGGTTCACTCCCCAAATGGCTGCAACGGCCAGTGCTGTACCAATCCGAAGCCAGGAGCCAGATGCCTCCTCCTGGTCTCCCATGAGGGTGCAGGGGCCCAAGCACCTGGGCCATCCTCCATTGCCCTCCCAGGCCACAGCAGAGAGCTGGACTGGAAGAGGAGCAACTGGGACTAGAACCTGGCGCCCATATGGGATGCCAGCACCGCAGGCGAAGGATTAAACAAGCGAGCTACGGCGCCAGCCCCACAACCTAAACTTTCAAAGCAACAGTAAGTAAAAGCATAAATTGTTTAGGATAAATTTTTTTTATTGATTTACTAATATCTTCTAAATAACTGACTGGAGACATCTACCCATATGCTTTACATATTGTAGTTCAGGTTTCCCATATAATCTTACACAGACTAATGTCTTCTTAACCTGAACATGATTTTGAGCACAAATTACATGTAAACAATGTTGAAATAATGATTTATAGTATCAAACAAAACCCTAGGAAGATGAAGCATTAAGTTTTGAAAAGCCAACCTAAGACACCAAAGAATACAAAATGAAAGAAGATGATAGGAATAAGATCATAAGAAACAAGTACACAGATCTGGCATAAAAAGAGACAGCAGTGCTAACAAGGCTACTGGCAGACAACCTCTTACATGTAAGTCACAGTTAGACATCCAAAGTCTTCAGAAAGATTCATAAAAAACTAAAACTGTTTTCTTTTATGACCCATCCAGCTGCTGTAGGGCAGAATATCCTAACCGGTCTCCTCACTAGCTGCCAGTTAATCAGCAGCTTAGCCAAGAATGAAAAGCAAAATTCATTCCCAAATATGTCTCTTTTCTTTCTTCTCTCCCTTACAGATGAAATCATGCTGGTGCTGGTTTTCGTCATCTACAAGGGGGACAGAAAGCTGATATTAACTTTATGTCTTGGAGTCTCATTTTACTCAGTCTTATGACTCTCCTCCCCCTCTCCTCACATCCTGGCAAGATAAAACTCTTAACCACTCAACAATAATTTCTTAAAAACTAAAACACTCCCTCAATTACATGCTATCCATCTATTTTCAGAAAAAAAATACTTCTTAAACCTTGTTGTCTGGTTCTTACAAATTTATAAAATAAATTCAGCAATTACATTCAAGACTTTATACTGACACAAACTGCAGTTCTAAGAAAACCACTTAATATCCCTGTGTGATTCAGTATCCTCAGAAGGGGAGAAAATAGGACTGATATCCGTCTCTACCAAAACAGCAGCTAACTACAAAATGGGAAAACAGAAAGGATGTTTTACTTTTAGTATAGTAGTGATATATAAAATTCTAGTTTCAATGAACTAAGGTGTAAGCTTTAAAACACAGGAACATTCAATGAGAAATTTTGATCCATTTAAGCCTTTTTCAAAATCAAAAACAAGAAAAATTAATTTAACTAAAATTGTGTTAAATTTACTATGATTACCAAGATTTTCAAATGAGTACACATAGAACCTTTAGAAACGTGGTTATTAATACTATTATCTAAGGGTCGACCCTTAGATAGTATCATTGTTAATTTTGCAATAACTATAAGGGGTTAGATCCTAAGTTTCAAATTGGTATTCTAAAATCTGTTAAGGAAAAGAACAGCATTTTTACAATTATGTGTTCATAAAACAAAAACACAGCAAGTGTTCTAATATAAGGTAACGCAGGGGCTAGTGTTGTAGCACAGTAGGGTTAAGACGCTGCTTGCATGCCAGCATCCCATACCAGAGCACTGATTTAAGTCCCAGCTTCTCTGCTTCCAATCCAGCTCCCTGCTAATGTGCCAGGGAAGGCAGCAGAATCTTCTATGTTATTAGTTTCTCTTCATATTCTCTCTAGTTGTAGTTACTAACTGGCCTAAATTTAGATCCCAATGATCACATACAGCAAAAAGGAAACAAAGGAGGGAAAGTATGACGACTGGGAAGAAAAGGAGGGAAAAAGAAGAGGAGACAATGCCAAAGGAGGGAAGAAGAAAGGAAGGAAATTAAACAACAATATTATATTAAGACCCAGAGTTAACTAGGCCTTTAGAGCCAGACCTATGGACAAATCACAAATTGCTAAATCATAACTGCATAATCATAACTGCTAAAATATGCCAGCCTAAATCTTGGACACCAAGACTTCATTATATCTCTTCATTATTCGAATTCCTTCTGGGTGTCAAGCACTGATCTAAGCATCTTACTTACATTTCTCATGTACAGCAAATATTTTAGGCCTTATAGTCATACGTCCCTTGTAAAACCTACTCAACACTGACATTATAGCCAAAAAAAAAAGAGCCAAAAATAATATGTAAATTAACCAGTATGGCTATGTTTCAATAAAACTTAACAAAAATAGATAGAATTTAGTCCACAAGCCAAAGCTCGTTGACATCCAATTTACAGGATAAACTTTTTATGACCAAGATATTCAATCAGCCAACAAAGTAATTTTGGAAAGCAAAGAGTAGGTAGAATATAGTCATCTCTTTTAGTGTCAGAGGAGCAATTTCAGTAAAGCTTTACTTCCTCATCTTTAATTGATAGTTTTTTTAAATAATAAAGAACATAGGGGCTGGCGCTGAGGTGCAGCGGGTTAACGCCTTGGCCTGAAGCGCCAGCATCCCAGATGGGGAACGGTTTGAGTCCCGGTTGTTCCACTTCCGATCCAGCTCTCTGCAAAGGTCTGGGAAAGCAGAAGATGACCCAAGTCCTTGGGCCCCTGGACCCATGTGGGAGACCCCGCGCAGCTCCAGCTGTTGTGGCCAATTGGGGAGTGAACCATCGGATGGAAGAACTCACTCTCCCTCGCTCTGCCTCTCCTCTCTCTGTGTACTTCTGACTTTCAAATAAATAAATAAATCTTTAAAAAATAAATAAAAATAAAGAACATACTTTTCAGACTATTTCCCTGGAACTAACTTAGCTTTGTCTTGCTTTTATTTTATATATCATTAATAAAATCAATGTCCATCAACAGAAACACCAAAGCCAACATTAATTAAAGCCTATTGTACTTAGAATTAGTACTGCTACTAGACCAATTACCATTGCTATAAAAATAAGTTTAAACAGATTTTCAAGCCTAGAATTCAATCATGTTCAAAAGGTACCAAAAACACCTCAACTGTTTTTCTTAATTTACTCCATCATTTTTAAGTAGGCTTCTGTAAGTACATACATAGTCTTTCAATTTAAACTTCCAAACAGATAGTTATATTATACCATGGGAAAATCAATGAGCCAGGTACAAGGCTATAAATAAATGTATGCAGCTGGGTGTTTAACTAGCTAAATTTTATGAATCCTTTCCACCTCACTCCTCCTGTAATAATTACAATGAGTCAAGAAAGCTCCAATTAGGATTTTCTTTATCTTTAATTTCAACCAGGCTCAAAATAACAACCACTTAAAAAGGTCTTACAAATATACAACATATAAAAAAAATAGTTTTTAGCAAAAATAAGTGTAAACTTACTATTATAAAATTTGATTGTCCTCTTTAATGTCACCTACTAAATGTAAAATGCTGGTATCTAATAACATAATATAATCTTTTTCTGACTCTCCTGCAGTACTTAAATCTAGCAGATGACATAAAACAAGACAGATCAAACCCCTAAGATATCACTTAGATTTCTGAATTTGTTTCTTTACAATTTATAACAACCTGTGAAAGCTGTAAAAGGTGGCAGAATGATTCAGAGTGATTATCCTGTTTCATTACTACTGCATGAAAGCTGCAATTTGAGAGCCTACAAGCCCTATTTTTTTGTGTTGGATTTCAAAGGCTCCAACAACAGTTTTGATACTGCTTTGTTCTTCTGACAGAATTTATACTACAGAAGACTGTAAAGCTTCATGACATGCTCTTTTATCCATGTTGTCTGCTAATAGAATCTATCAAAACAACACCTTAGAGCGCTCCCACCCAATTACTTCTAAATAAACACTCCTTTAAGAGCTACCTAAAGGTCATCCTTTCCACAGAAGTAGCCAGTAAGACTCCCATGATTCCGTGCACATTATATTCAATTTAATCTTAGACTGGCAATTGGTATTTATTCAATTTAGAGTTGACTGAAGCCTCCTCCATCTTTCAGTTTCTCCCTAGCTTTATGTCAAGCTGCCATAAGAATTTCAATCTCTTAGTAGAGAAAAATGCGTGTTTCCTAATTCTATTAGCTAGAATTAAATAAGAATCTGATTGTCAGAAGAACTAAGGGTTGAACAAGATGATAAGAGAACAATTTCCTGCTGTCTATCAAAGCACTGTCTAAATCTTCCAGTCAGGAAAGAAAGACAACCAAGGCAGTACAAAGGGAAAAGTTCTTCCAGTTGGTTGGAGCACATCAGAGATGACTTCACAGAAAGTATGGAAAGATCCCAAATGATACAGCAACTGATGCAAAAAAGCTAAAAATATAGATATGGGGAAATATTAGATTTCAAATTGAATACTCTATCATACAGCAGAAAGAAACCTGAAGGATCACTCTTGTCTTCTACTCATTTTTCAGGGATAGAGAAAGGGAAGCCCAGAGAGAACACCAACGCTGGGCTAGCATCCAAGTCTTTCTACAACATAGCAAAAACCCTTCCATTAACAACCACCAGCCACTCAACTGTATCTTCCTCTTCGCTTCCTCTCTCCCTCTTTTCACTTCACTGCAGACACTGCCCCTTGGAGTTTCTTAAACACATGTGTCCTGCACCTGCCTCAGAGCTTTTGCAGTTACCACTCCTTC